TTGAAATTTAAAGGAGGAGACCTATAATATTTGCTCTGTAAGACAGTAACCCTTTCACAACTTTTCTTGATGCCACAGTATAATACTGTTTATCAATATTGATTTATTTGAGGGAGAGACTGCATGTCATACTGAACCATAATGTGTGAGAAGTGCATGTGTGAGGGAAGTGTAATTAAACTTTCTTTGTTTTCAGCCTTAATAAATCCTCAGTTTTGGAAGGAAGTTCCACTCTTGAGTGTAGTCTATTGGTTAAATGCACCAAGATCTATGCCCTTAATAGTAATACTGCTGTTGTGAAAAATTGTTATTAAAATGGCAGTGTATAAAGTACATTGAAAAGCTGGAGAAAATCATGCCAGGGAAATTCACCATCATGTGATCTAGTCTGTGGTTTATATGTAAGATTTAAAGTAATCAATTGAAATAATGTCTTAGTCCTTGGAGTGTTTTCTTTAAGAATGGTCAGGGGAATAGAAACTGCTTTAGGTAGCACAGAGATTTTAGAAATGCATTAGCCTTGCTGTTAGTGTGGTCTCTAATTGATGTGTTTTAATTGTCGAATACTGTACTGCTTGAAAGAGGAATGCTCATTCTGCCAAATCCAAGGAATTTGAAGTTCAAACACATGCTTTGCTTAAGTCTGCATTTTTCAAAAACAGAATTCTGTTTTAAATTTAGAAGCTAAATGATTAGTAGCCTTCTCACTAGCAGAGGCTAACTGTTATGCTTCTTTTCCCTTCAGGTAATGCCAGTGAAAATTCTTCCATGCAGAGATCACAGTCACTTCCACAAACTTCCACACCTCCCTTAGTGAGTGGAATGGCAGACTACAACACCTCAGCTACTCCTGCATTAACTGAAAGAGAAGCATCCCGACTAGACAAATTTAAGCAGCTACTTGCTGGCCCCAATACAGATCTCGGTGAGTGTTTCTTACAGGGGCTGTGAATTACATATAAAATATTCCTAAACTATAAAATTTTTCTGTTTTATGTACCATTTTGCCTGACAGTTTGGTTGGGTTCTAATGATTTCAATGCTTAGAACTGATCTTACAAAGAAAGACAGAATAAAATTGAAAGCTTGTAGAAAGCCATTTGTGTACATCCTACGTTGGGTGTTAGGTGGCTTCTTAATCTTTTCTTTCTCGCGTTATTTCTTCCTACTAGACTAATCTCTGGAGAAAAGAAAACCAAAGTATAATTAGTTGTGTTTGTTGTTGATGACTGATAATAGAACAGCATGAGTATAAGACTGGTTTTCATGCTTAGAAATAGGAATGTGAACAATGATGAGGCGTGTGAGCGTTACTTCTTGTCTACTCAGGGAGCATTCTTCATGTTCACAGGCTGATACAGTAGTTCTGTGTCTCACTGTGTCTCATCTGTGAATGCTGACAACATGGTAATGTGAAAACAAATGTATTGTCAGATAACTTGACTGTTCCCTTTGTACACTGGATTTTAACTGCTGAATAGTCAATGCAAATACTGAGAGGCTATCACAGAATTGAATGGATTTGTATTTCAAGTGAAACTCTGGAGCAAGTAGAATTAGTACACAGCATTTGGAGAACTTGGTGATCACTTAGGAGTTTATGGCAAAATAATTAGTAGAGAGAATGTCTTTGAGGTAGACCATTCTGGAAGATATCTACAGGAAATTTACAGAAGGAAATAGAAATTGCATGTTTGCAGCTCTTAAACTGATGCTCTCCTGCCCTGTAGTTGTCATGAGACTTCTTCAACATAATACAGTCAAGTTTTGGCTTTTAGTTTGCTTTTCCTTTCTGTGCTGTGTCTTACTCTTAAGATTGATGCTTGCAAAGTACAAGTATGGAAACAATCCTAACTGGATGAGATTTAGCACATCTGTGGGTTGTAGGGCATCCTTATGAAATACAGCCATGAATAAAGTGAGGTGTTAAAATGTTATGTGATTTATATAACTTGAAAATGATAATTAAACATCAATTTTCTCCCTTTAATCTAACAGATTAAACATGATAATAATGATACAGATTAATCTGTAAATTAACCTGTAAATTCATATTTAATTAACAGATTGAATAGATCTTAGATTAAACATGATTGTGACTGACAGGGAAACTCATAACTTTTAAGAGTGTTACAATGTTAGAAATCTTTGTTACATGAGGTTACAAAGTGAAAAGGTAGACAAAGTGTAATTTAAACCTATCCATTTCACTTTTGCTGTCTAGTTAATTGGGAATACTTTCCCAGTAAATCAGATTTAGGGATTAAAGTAAAATAATTTGAAAGGGGGTCAAAGAAGATTTGCACTCTTATTAGGAATGCTGTCACCCTGACCGTGGTGAGAGCTTAGTCAATGCTAGTTAAACAACTTGGGTTTGGTTTTTTTCCCCCTTTTGTACTTTCTAAATCTTACACTGAAATATACATGGGAATATGAAATTTCAGTGTGGTTTTTTGATATTAAAATATGAAAATTATCTAATAAGCTCTCAGTATTCCTTCTTGTACATATCACAAAATTATGCCTTTTCTACATCTGTTTATAGGAAGCTTGTTCTTTCTCTTGCTGTGCAAACTAATGTAACTTAAAGTTGTGTGAATAGAATTTTAAGACCAGGTTTGATTTTATTCTTTTTCCTTTTTTTTGATGCAAATATTTTGACTTCTATATCTGGGATGTATCTAGTAGCATATATATCTATAGGTAAGACATGATTTTTCTCGGTGATAGAAATAAGCTCCATATTGATAACATGCAAACTCATTATGATCACGAAGCTATTAGGAGTAGATCATATGTGATGGTGGTGCTTGGACTACACTGGAGGTATATATTAAAGAAAGTGTGTGTATGCACATGTACATATATGAACATATATATGCTTATAACCATATGTATCATAGTCTGGTGTGTTCTCGTATATGCATTTTCAATTTTGTTAGGTGTTTGGTTTGGTTTAGCTCCATGTTACAATGAAGACTATGCTTGAAAAGCGTTCTTGATTTGTAATGACAGCAGTAGCCTGGGGAAACTGTTGTGGTTTGTGTGTGGTTTTTGATTTGTTGTTGGGGTGGGTTTGTTTTTGTGGTTTTTGGTTTTTTTTCTGTTTTTCTTCAGGACTGTACTGAAAATGGACCCAGGTAAAAGTAGGTAACAGGCTCCAAGCTAAGATTTGTGGTGAGTTATGTGTAGGGGCAGGTAACTCTTCTGTTGCAACTGGCTCATTATGTTTGTGTGTGTGATGTTGTGGTATGTGTGGGCCTTTGTTTTGTGCTTGATCCACAGATAGCTGGGCTTTGTTTGTCCTGATGAATTGAATTAGTAAGACTTGAAGATATTTTCACAAATATTTCTGTTCATTTCTGCAACTATTAGTATTGGGTTTGGTTGGAAGTAGAAGTAACAGAAGTATTTCTATTGACCTTTGTTTCCTTAATATAGTTTTGCATATTGTTTAACTAGATTATGTGGCAAGTCCTTTCAAAGCAATATAAAAATAAGCTAATCTGTGGAACTGTAGCAATGTCATGCACATTTTCAACTTAAGACTTTTCTCTTAATCATAACGTGAGAAATCAACGTTGACTAAGAACACAAAGTAATAGAAATGGCCTTGTAATCCTTTCAGTCACACTTGAATAATCATTCTATAAGGACAGTGTAAAATGCAATGTTAGAGTTGTGTGATAGCTAGAGGTTGTAAAAGAGTGTGTTCTTTGACAAGAGAACTCTCAAAAAGATGGATTATGTGTATAAATGTGGAAGTTAAGATTATTTTAGCCTTTGAAGACCACTAATAGACTTTGGAGTTGAGTTTGGTCCCCAGTTCGGTTGGAATTTGGTTTTGGGTTGCAAACTTCTGGAAATAGGTAGGTTCTATCAACCCTATCAAATTGCACACTGAACAAAATACTATACCAGGCATAGACTGCAGTTGGCATATGTATCCACTGGTAAATATTATAATGACAGAGCCATTCTTTAATTTCTGTGTACAGTTTAATCCAGCAGATGCTTATATGCACAAATGGTTATTAGTGTGAGGTATTATCTGAGAACATGAATTAGGAAGGAATTAAAAACCCACCCCAGAATATAAAACCCACTCAGAATATAAAAGAATTCATTTTTTGGGTTACTTTATACCTATTTATGAATAAAGAGCCTATTTCCATGGCTTAAAGTGCTCTTAACTCATTTTAAGTATTTTGTAGAGCTGAACTAATAAACTCATGCTTATTATAATTGCCCTTGTAGTTGTTCTGGGCCTTCTTTGAGACATTCCAAGACACTTCACTGTCCTGCAGGCATTTGTGTTGTTTGCATGATAAACAGATGCAAATAATATGCCTTACTTCCTTCTGGCACTTTTTATGTGACTATTGCTATGCTGTTATTACCTCTAATATAAATCTGGACAGAATAATGTGAATTGGATGTCAAGAGTAGTTAGCTATATGAAAAAAATCCCTGTTCTATAGAAATGTTACTTCTAGGTATATGTTTTGTGCTACAGGAGAGAGGGATTCAAGAGCCTGGACAATATACCTTCAAGTAGTAATATAATGCAAAGAAAAGGGAGATAATCTCACAGAGCTTCAGAATGAGAGCTGCTAAGCAAGTGGAACTGCTGCTGCAAAAAATGTGTGCTAGTAGAAGGAGCCTGTTGTAAGAAACAGTTTTGGTTGGAGAGGGGCTGGAGGACTGACCCCTGTCAGTTAGATGTTATGAGGTGTACTGGGTGCAAATTGAGTAAGCAAGATAGGACTGGAGATAGTATAGCTGAGTTCAGTAGAGAGCTGCAGTGTAGGCTGTAGGGCCTGTGTGCCTGCATAGCCTTGGCTTCTGGTACTGTGTGCCAGGTTATTCAGAGGGGACAATTTATGGTAGTTGTTTTTGTGCAATCATCATGTGCTTATGCTTGACTTGCAACCAATTTGGTGTAGACACAGTTAATTTCAGGCCTTGTCTTTCCTTGTAAAGGACCTTGCATTACTGAGTGGGGATGGGCTTGCAGAACCTTTTGCAAACAATTGGTTACTTTAAGAGAAGGGGACATGATTTTAACAAAGCAGCATGGGGAAAGTCTCTCTGAGAAGAAATTTTGCTTTCCTTTGAGACACTTTTTACGTATTAGAGGGGCAGTACTGCTATGTCTATCATGTTTTCAACTGAAGTTTCATTCAATTAAATTTGGGCAACTTGTGTTTTTAAGTAGCCTTGTATGATGTTTTAGGGAGCTGTTTACTGTGTACGCACAATGTAAGCAAACTGTGTTGATAAAATCAGACTGACATAGCAGTAAGCAATTTTTTGCATACTTATAACCTCAGCATAGCAGATGTATGATGGGGTTTTTATAATCAGTTTAAAAATCAGCCCATTAAAGCACTTCTGAAGTCCTCCTTTATCTTCAAGCCAACTAATTTCCTGTTTTTTTGCACATATATGGCTAATGAATATGTAACTGGATGTCAGGAACATGTTTATTTAAATCAAGCAACAACCAACAGTAAGTTTGGTGTACTGTGCTGTCTTGATGCGATAAACCTTCGTAACATTGTAATGCTACTGTTATGCAACATAACACATGCCTGTAAATTTTTCAGAGTCAAACCAACTAATTTCTTAAGTCATAAAGTTGTTTTGCATGTTAAGGTCACTTTTCTTTCTGCTTAGTCGCAACATATTCCAAGTTGAACAAAATAACACATTGAAGTTTTAGCATCCTACCTTGATAAAAATAATGGAAGACCCTATGAAAGCACCCATGAAAATGGTAAAGCATTCCCATCTTTAATTTACTCGTATTGCTGTACCCTATATTCACCTTCAGAGCACTTTTCATTGCACTTTTTTTTAACTGCTCTACTTCTCTCATTCTAACAAAATCTCACAAAAACCTTTTCAGAGAGTACCACGAGC